CTCTCTCTCTCTCTGTGTGTGTGTGTGTGTGTGTGTGTGTGTGTGTGTGTGTGTGTGTGTGTGTGTAGCCGAGCTAACCATGTGGAGATTAGAGTATAACTTGAGACACTTCCCACTTTCCAGTGTGTAGGTAGATTCCTGGACAGAGCTCTGGTCACCAGGCTCGGTGGCAAACACCCTTTCCCTCTGACCCATTCCATTGATCCAACTAGTAGAAACATGAGAGGTCACGAAAAGATAAGAACTTAGTAAGAGAGAGGGGGCGTGTGCACATATACGCTCAACAAGCCATGAAAACGGTTGCTAAAATATCAGTACCCTATTAAACTCATCCTTCCTTACCATGAGTTCAGATTCTAAGACAACATTTCAAAAGCTGGAACAAGGCAGATGAAATTTATGAAAAGGCAAAGAGGTGTTTGGCAGTTTCCACCACAAAGAGACCCGAATATGGCTTAGGAAGACTGAAGACAGCCTTAGCTAGCGAGGAGAAAACAAAGACTTTACCTAGAATTGGGAGTCTACAGCTTCCCTTACACAAAGGGAACTGCCAGTTCAGGTATCATGAAAGAGCCTGAACAAAAACATAAGTAAATAAAGTTTTAATAAAATGAGGGCCAGACAGACAGCTCAATGGTTAAGAGCTGTCTCCTCCTGAGGACCCAGAATCAATTCCCAGCACCCACATGGCCACTTACAGCCATCTATAACTCCAGTCCCAGGGGATCTGATGCCCTCCTCTGGCCTCTGAGAGCACCACACTCACTCAGTGCATATGTGTGTGGGTGTGTGTGTGCAAAACATTCACACAATAAATAAGGAAATAGAATTTGAAAATATAAAGTAAAAAGCCCAAGAATGCCCTCAGAGAGAAGACAGCAGTTGGTCCCTCATTATGCTTTCATCTTCTTCCTCCTCTTTATTGTGTGCAGATTATGCTTTCATTTTCTACCTCCTCTTTATTGTACACAAAGTAAAGGTATATGTGCACAAGCAAAAATAAATAAATAAATTTTTAAAATTCAATCAGGGAACCTGAACATCACTTGTCTCTGGGGCCGTGCTTAGATGGTGCTTATAATTGTGCTCTTCCATCCATGTTGGCTGTGACCATAAAATAATGAGGCTGATTTAAAAAAAAAAAAATACTGCTCATTTATTTAAACAGCGCTGGTTTTCAAAGATAGCCATGCAGCTGCTCTTAGATTTTGAAGTCTTTGAGGCTAGTGTTTTGCATCTAAAAGCGATACCAATGGGAAGACTCCCCCCCAAAATGGTTCAAACAATCCCACAGCAGTGCTGTGTGGCATCACAGAAGTCAGCTTTTACCTCCCAGGGAACTTTTTGGAAGGATGATGTTAATTGGGGAGTGCGGAGTTCAAGAGCAGTAATTCAGAAATCAATCATTGCTCCACAGTGAAGCTGGGGTGCTGCAGAACAGGAGAACTGGCCCCTGCTGTGAATGGAAACACTCCCTCCAGGAGGAGGAAGGAGGCTCCAGACGTCCTAGAAGCTGATGAACCTCACAGGGACAGGAAAAGCTGAAACCCACAGACTCACAAGACTCCAAGGCTCTAAGAGCAATGAACAGTAAACAGCTGCCAGGGAGAGAGAAGTCTCCAATGGGCAAGTGGGCACGGTCTGCAGGAGACTGTGGGCAGTGAAGATGCCTACACATCATGGGGGGAAGGGGGGGGTCTGGTAGCTCCAGGAATGCAACTTTCATGAGTCATCACCCATGCTGCCATGCTGCTGTGGACGTTACAGTGAAGCAACTGCCTGTAGGTTATATTTATTTATTTTGCACATGGACGCAGGGATACATCTACCACAACAACCTACAAGAGGCTGTTCTCTCCTACCATGTGGGTCCCAGGGATCAGACGTGGCTTGGCCACAAGCCTTTGTACATACCAAGCCATCTCCCTGGCCCTGCAGTTGCCTTTTAGGAAGTAACTCTTCTGGCCCTTACTCCTCCAAATAACCCCAGTGAGCTCACTGGTTCCACAAGCTGGACTTTGGTAGAATCCTTAGCTTGATGTGTTCGTTTGGTTTGTTCAAATCTAGGCAGAGAAAGTTCACAGGACAAACCCTCACTGCCCCCAGGAGCACATGCTAAGAAATGCAACAGTCTGGTTGCAACTAACCAATGGGGAAATCTCACTAAGAAATATAAAGGAAGTGTCACAGTGGAGATTCCAGACCACCAACACTCCTGAACAAGATAGTTAAAGTCATTGTGCTAACATTTGTCCTGATAAAGAAATATAAATGTAGTGTATGCTCAGATGTTAGCAAACAGACCCTTACCTTAATACACCACAAACTTTATGCTAATGGCCTAGGTGGTTTCTCTGGGAAATCAATAATGCCAAACTTGGTAATAATGAAACCCACTGTCTCCACAGGAGAACAAGACTAGTTTAAGAAAACACAAAGAAACTTCAGTGTCCAAAGGCGGCTCTTTCTTTGCTTCTGTAAGGAAGCTGTCTGGGGTAGAACCATAAACAGGCATCAAAGCAGCCAGCAACCCCAGCCCAACCTCAGGGTCAGATGAAGAATTCCAGGCTGCCCTGTGGCAGATGGGCCTGTTCCCTGTGCTTTATTACAAGCCTCCATCATTTGTTGGCTTATCCTCAGAGATGGTCACTCCAATGTCATTTTTTTAAATGGTATTTTTATTGTTTCTGTGGGAAAACGAGTATAGTTTTCCTATAAAGCGTGAGGAAGGTTTTCTTTCCTCCTACTTGCTAGCTTCCAGAAAAAATCAGTCGATTACCTTAAGCTTTTTCCAAAGAGAAAGGAACTTAGCATAAAATGTTGAATTACTGCTCTCAGAGAAAATCCATAATCCAAAGCAAGTTGACAGTTAGCAAATGAGATGAGTTACAGCATCTTGATGCTTCTAAGGCCCAAATGGAAGATGTCCTCAAGGATATCACAAGACAGACTCAGAAGTATCATAGGTGCCTTCAGAGCAGTGGGTGAGTCATCAGATCCTGGGCAAAGCATGAAAACAGCCTGAAGAATGGCTTGATCCCGCATCCGAGTGGGCCAGCTTCTTGGATAAACTAAGACGATGCCTGCACTTCTGCCTCCGTTGGTGAGCTAATGCACCGAGGGGGGAGAAAGGGTGGGAGGAACCGACATTTGGTGAGCTTCCATCCTGTGCCAAAGACTTTCTGTCACAACGGTCCACTGTGAGAAGAATCATTACCTCCATTTCTACTCATGAATCAACCGGAGACTCAGAAGTTAAGTGATTTATCCACAGCCAGAGAACTTGCAAATGCCAACACAAGACTCAGACCCTGGCCTCCAGTGTCTACAGCTGGCTGGTGTGTGTGTGTGTGTTCAGGTGTGTGTGTGTGTGTGTGTGTGTGTGTATGTGTGTGTGTTCAGGTGTGTGTGTTCAGGTGTGTGTGTTCAGGTGTGTGTGTGTTCAGATGTGTGTGTTCAGGTGTGTGTGTTCAGGTGTGTGTGTTCAGGTGTGTGTGTTCAGGTGTGTGCAGATGTGTGTGTGTGGTGTGTGTGTGTGTGTATGTGTGTGTGTGTCCAGGTGTGTGCAGATGTGTGTGTGTGTGTGTCCAGGTGTGTGCAGATGTGTGTGTGTGGTGTGTGTGTGTCCAGGTGTGTGCAGATGTGTGTGTGTGTTCAGGTGTGTGCAGATGTGTGTGTGTGCAGATGTGTGTGTGTAGTGGTTAGAGGTCAACCTCTGCTGCCATTACTCATGTGCCATCCACCTTGTCCTCTGAGACAGTCTCTCACTGGCCTAGAACCCATGAAGTAGGCTTGGCTGGCTGGCTGGCCAACAAGCCCTGGGCATCCCCCCTCTTTGCCTCCCAGCACTGAGATTACAGGTGTGTGCCAACACAGCTCAGTTTTCTAACAGGGGTCAAAGTCTGATCCCCATGCTTATAAGGCAAGACTTTACCAACTGAGCTATGACCCCAGGTCCTGAAAGCTAAACGCTTTTAACACCCCTAAGCTGAGTACAAGAGACAGCTCCCAAGGTGCCCTATGCTGTGCTCTGTGCGCATTTAATGTACACTAGGAAAATTTAATTATCATAATCGCAGCGAGACTCAAGAGATACACTGCTATTGGGTTCCTTTGTGTGAATGTTCATCTGAAATATATTGAGAGACAAAAAGACCCTATTACCCTGTGTTGGTACAAGCACAGAGTTGTCAAAAATGTTTTCCCCTATCTGTCTCCCCCACCCTGTCCCCCACCAAGGCCACTTACTAACAACCCCACAACAGTGATCAAGTATTTACTCCACACGAAACAAGTGCTGGTCTTCAGAGGAGCCATGGGAGGTGGCATTTAAACGGGTGAAAACAATCGAAGGGTATGAACTTGGTAACGATAGGACAGGGTCCGTCTCCTGCACTTCCAGCTCCTCAGTGCTCTTCTGACTCACTCTCCCCAGCCTTCCACTAGAAAGCTATATAGCAGCCATTTCTCAGTGTCAGGAACTCATTA